GGCGAATTTAGGAGCAATTTTTTTCACTCAGAGAGTAGTTGGGATGTAGAATGCCCTGCGGAGAAGAGTGGTGGAGATAGAATCTAATGTGGCTTTCAAGAGAGAAGTTGATAGGCTTTTGAAAGAGAGGGGCTTCAAGGGGAATAGGGATAGGATGGAAGGTTGGGACTGAAAACATCTCCCTACTCTGTGAGCCAATGCAGACTCGAGGGGCCGAATAGCCTCCTTCTGCGCTGTAGATTTCTATGTTTCATAGTTCTTTGGGGGATATTGCTGTGGTGAGGGAGCTACCAGCTGAACCAGTCTATTTGCCTTAACATTTAACATCCCTCAGAATTGTAAACAATTCTCAAATGTTAATTTGGAAGCCATTTTTTCCTACATTTCTTAAAAAGAACTGGCTTCCAAATTAAGACTGAATTTAAGAATTGTTCAACTTTCTTCCCCCCCACCCCCGCCACCTCCCACCACCTTAAACTTAAATACAAACTGGTCTTGCAAGCAAAAACTAGGTGGAATTTCAGGCTTCTGCTCATTTTCCATACCCTTTAATAATCCTCTTTTTCAAACACGTTTCCTTTTAAAATGATCTATGATTCAAAAATTTCTGACTGAATCTTTAATTTTATTGTTAAATCTATATTGCTTCCCTAACTTTAAGGAGCTATCTACTGTTTGCACAGGTTGCTTACATAGACTTCCATTTAAGCTTTACAATGTGGGAACAGGCTATTTGATCTAAGTAATCTGTGCTGATGCTTATACTCCATGTGAGCCTCCACCTCTCTATTATCCCATCTTCTGTTCCCTCCTTTCCCTTGTCCCTCATGTAGGGGTTTCTGCTGTGCCTATTGCAATCTTTATAGCATACTTATTCAGAATGGTCACTTGTTTCTTCAGGTTGGCTATGCTAGACTTAGCTATGATATGGACTTGTTCCAACCCATTCCAGACGAGTCCTTACACTAGTGTCTGACTATTCGGAAATGCTTCCAGAATGGATAAGTTGTATTTTATAGCTATAATTTTCATTTTGTCATGGCCTTACTTATGAACCTGCAGGATCTTTGTATTTTTTGAAATTGTGAAAGAATACTCAGATTCAAAACTGATCACTACTTTCATTGCCAAGCAGCGAGAAGTACTTAATAACAGGTGCTACAACAACATAGCAAGCAATGCACTACATTTCCTGCTTTCTCCCCACATCCTGCAACAAAGTTTTATCCTGTTTGGCAGTGAACTAAGCACGCTATTCAGAAACATATTTTTAACTCAAACTAAAATGATTAATATACATATGACTTTGTGTTGCTGTGTCCAGATTGTGATAGTCTATAATAATGTTGACCGTGCACTAATGGTGGGGGTCAGCCAGGTGTCTGGCACATACATCACCATGTTAAGCATATTCAAACCAAACTAAGAATTTCATGCATCCCACCTACACATGAAAATTCCAAAGAGAGATTGTTGGAATCGAATGGGCATAGTCTCTCCCTGGAGGGAAGCATCCTGCTTACCTAGGCACAGTTTGGCATGAGCTAAGGCTTGAGGATTCCATAGTGTGCATTAGGGTACAGTTGCAGTCTAACCAATTAAAACCACATAGCTTCCCATTGATATCGCTGTCTGGCAAGCTTTCCTCCCTGCTTGCCCAGCTAGGACCACCATCTTCTTAAGGCTTTGGCTTTCAACAGCAACAACAACTTGGATTTGTACAGCGCCCTCTATGCCAGAGCGCTTCACAGTAATGGGTCCTGGGGCCGAGCCAGGGGGAGGGGGAGGAAGATGACCAAAGGCGTGGGTGAAAAGAAGGGTCTTCAGCAGAGACCTGAAAATAGGAAGAGAGAGCGAGGCGAAGGGAGTGAGGAAGGGAGTTTCAGAGCCTCGGGGCTTAGTGGCTGAAGGCACGGCTGCCGAAGGTGGAGCGGAAGACTCGGGGGACAGGAGGAGGCCAGACCCGGAGGAATGAAGGCAACGGGTACTGTTTTGAGGAGAGAGGAGATCGGACAGGTAGGGGAGTGCAGAGGAATAGAGGGATTTGAATACAAGGATGTGAATCTTGAAATCGATCCTCTCTGGGACAGGCAGCCAGTGCAGTCTGGCAAGGACTGGGGTAATCGGGGAGCGGAGTTTGGTGCGAGTGAGAATGTGGGTGGCAGAGTTTCGAATAATCTGGATTTTATGGATGGCAGTGGAGGGGAGGCCGGCATTAGAATAGTCCAGCCGAGAGGTGACAAAGGCATGGACTAGGGTTTCAGCGGCTTTCAGAGAGAGGTATTGGCGGAGACGGGCAATGCGTCGGAGATGGAAGAAGGCGGTACTGGTGAGGGACTGGATGTGAGGGAAGAAGAATAATTGGGGGTCGAACCTGATGCCTAGGTTTCGTATAGGTTCGGAGAGCTTTAGGGGGAGGTCGAGTAGGTGGAGGAGGTGAGAGCCATGAGATTTTAGATGTTGACGAGAGCCAAAAAGTATGGCTTCCGTCCTGTCAACCTTCAGCTGAAGGAAGTTGGCGCTCATGCAGCCCCTGAGGTCTGACAGGCAGGCTGACAGAACATCAGGAGACTGGGGGATCACAAAGAAAGGTGAAAAAATAAAGTTGGGTGTTGTCTGCATACATGTGGAAATGTACCCCATGTCTACGGATGACATTCCCAAGAGGGAGCACGTAGATCAGAAAGAGAAGAGGACCAAGAATGGATCCTTGGGGGATCCCGCAGGTAACCGGGTGAGAGTGGGAGGAGAAGCCGTTTGTGCAGATGTACTGCTGGCGGTTTGTGAAGTAGGACTCGAACCAAGCAAGTGCGGTCCCACTGAGGTGGATGACGGAGGAAAGGCGGTGGAGGAGGATGGCGTGATCGACTGTGTCGAACGCGACTAAGAGGTCCAGGAGAACAAGGAGGCAGAGGGAGCCCTGGTCACAAATAGTGAAGATGTCGTTTGTGACTTTCACAAGCGCAGTCTCTGTACTGTGGGCAGGGCGGAAACCTGACTGGAGAGGTTCGAAGAGGGAGTTGGAGGAGAGGTGTGCATGAAGTTGATTGGCAACAACGCATTCTCGGACTTTTGCCAGGAAGGGCAAGTTAGAAATAGGGTGGTAGTGGCTGGGGTTTGAGGGATCTAGCGAAGGTTATTTGAGGAAGGGGGGTGATGACTGCAGTTTTGAGGGGGGCAGGGACTGATCTGGAGGAGAGGGACTGGTTGCTGACATCAGCCAGTAGTGAGCAGAGAAGGGGGAACTGGGTGACCAGCAAGTTGGTGGGGAGGGGGTTGAGGCAGCAGGTGGCGGGTTTCATAGAGGTGCTGGTGGGTGAGAGGGAGGAGGGAGAGATGGGGAGGAAAGAATGTCGGATGGGAGTGGTGATAGGAGCAGATGATGAGGAAGGTGAGGGGGACACAGAAGGCATGGCAGTGATTGACAAGGGGCAGGTGGATGAGGCTGCCTGGCGGATGTTAAGTATTTTAGAAGAGAAGAAGTCCATGACCTCCTCACACTTGGCATTTGATATGAAGATTGGGGAGGCCTGAGGGGAGGCCCGGAGGAGGTAGTGGGTGGTAGAAAAAAGGATTTTAGAGTTGTGTTTAGCCTTCAAGATGATATTGGAGTAGAAGGCCATTTTTGCGCGTGTCAAAGAATGATGGTTCAGGGTTAACAGGAGCTGAGTAGGATGACCCCCTGCCCCCAGTGACTAGTTTGCTCTTTCAAGTCCTGCCTATGTGCCAGACTGGCTGTGCTTTCATCAGCAGGGCCCTGGAATACTAAGGACCCACCCGGCACATGATCTGGGCTACAGAGATGGCAACAGGGCTCGCTCCATTCCCACATTCCATTGCTAAACATGTCACCTTGGAGCCACTTCAGCTCCAAGGACACACTGCTTACCGGTCGGTGTCCAGTCATGTTGGATGTCCAACAACTTTACCATCAGTACATTTGGCAGTATTTACCTGTGAAACACTTCGAGATGTTTCAATATTATCGACGTCATATTCTATACAAAATAGTTTTGTGCTGGTACCATTGTCTGAGATCTTGTGTCACATTTACCATCAATCTGGAAAAGAAAACAGATCACTTTCTACCTCTTCATACCGCTCCAGTATTAATCACTTTGTGGACTTCTGCTCAGCTGGGGTCCATTCTTCCTCAATCAGTGGTCCGACACTAGGGTTCATTATTGTTTTGTTTTCGTCTTTCCATTTTCGACATTTTTGCTTTTTCAGTATCAAACAGGTCTTTGTGTGCATTAAATGTGACTTTTTGTGCAGTCTTATCATTTCCTACTGTTTTGTGATGTTTTTGGAACAATGTACATTCATATTTAAGCAGAGTTTAATTGTTATGTAATGTAATTGCATGCATGTAACAGTCTTTTTTTTGAACGTATTGATTGGATAGCTCAATTTTATTTTGGATCTATTGCTTTCACCTTTCTTTCTTGTCTCATCCATGTATTTTCATTTCATCATTAGCTCATTGTGTGACTTTACGTGTATAACCACATATGCACATCTTCTTTATGTTTGGATGAATATATCTTTCATTTTTAGTTTCCATTTAGCTTCAATACAAAATCAATATGAAACGAAAATTAGGGGTGCGTGAAACGTTAACTTTTTTCAACTAAGCCTAGTTTGACTGCAAAATGTAACTAGCATTAAAATTCAAATCACTGCATGTTCGCTTGCAAAATACAATCACCACACTTCGCAGAAAACCCTTTTGACATTTCTTAAGACATTCTCGTATTATGATATATCAAATGCAAAGATTGTTTATTTATTGATTGGTACGAAAAGAGGAAGTGTGGGTTCCTTTCCTCAGTGGTTCCTGTTGTGTAACGCCTGAATAGACTGGAAACCCAGCCACTTGTAAACTGGATCGTGATATGTTACAGTGCACATTTAAAGATAGATACGCTTTGGAGTATTTGCAATAACGTTACCTTTACAGATTTAACGTTGGTAACGTTTTATGAAGTGATCCCAAAACAATGTTGGAATTCACGTTCAAGAGAGCAAGTATTTCTTTGATTCTGCTGGTTCTGGGTATGTATGTACATCTTATACACATTGGTGTATTTACCACTGAACTCTACGGCTCACTGACTCTGCAGTGATAGCTAAGCTTGCAGTATTTGAATTGCTTACTAAATTTCTTTCCATTTCTACTCTAAACTATGTGTGAAATGCCAATCATTCCTTAGTTCAAATTACGAGACGTTTTACTTTAAATGCAACAGTAGATGTATAGCTGCATTTTCATGTAGTATTATATTGTGTTCATTGTGTTAATGCGTGTAAATACTTTCGATACTGCTGCTTAAATAAGCTTAATTTTGTGTACACACGTTTCCTTTTTGACGTAAGCTACTTATTGCACCTAACCTCAGTCTATGTTAAAGCTATAACTTTTCAAGACATTTTCCGTCAACATCTGGTCGTCTTTTCCCCTTTCTTATCAATGTTGCAAAATCAGGTAAGATGGGACCGTCTACATAGAAGGAATGGGATGACTTTCTATTCCATTCAGTGGATATGGTGTGTGCAGATACTTGTATATATTTATTAAGAAAACCATTTCTACCTACACTGACAACCTGTGGTTTTCTTGTTTCTATTTTCCATTCTACTGATTATAAGGTGTAATGTCGAGTTTACTACAGAACCTACAGCTATCAAGGACTGCTTTCCAAATGGCAATGAAAATCGTGCAATGATTCTAACGATTATAGTTTTTGTAAAGTGTAATAAAGACGAATGTGAGGAATAATGAGAAAGAGAAATACAATAGTTCTTCATTCCATCTATTCATCTCACTATATGACTGTCCAGGACGTCCCAAGGCGCTGAAATATATGTCATATCACACATTTAGTTGGTTTGTCGTTCATATATACAGTATTTTGAGACATGTTCACATTTGGATACACTTAGATTTGATTTTTTTAAAAAAAGATTCCCTGAAATACTGTTGATTGCAAAACGCTGTGTTAGTTTTGTTCTGAATCTAATGTGTTTCTACACATTCTGGGAATCCAGTGTTGCTACACGTAGCGCTTGGATGTCTAAACAAAGTTGTCAATTTTGGTAGAGAGAAGACACCAAAATCTGTGAGTTTTGACTGCAAACAGAGTTATATTCATATAACGGTAACGTGGTGTTCCCCGACAGGTCGATAGTGCTCATACTGTACAAATGGTCCACCTGTTGTGATGGAAAGCGCGTTTAACCAGTGAGCATATGGCAGATGTTTGTATTATACACCGGGGTTGTATTACCTGCTCTGTTATGACTATTTTGTCTGCTGATCAAACACATGTGGTGCGGACAAAAAGAAACACATCCATAAGCAACCCCGAAAATACAAGTGAACGATGACATTTCCCCCCCCTCCTGTTCTTAAATATTCCACCACTGTGCGGTGAGCCGTAACATTACTGCAACAGTCTGCAAACTCGACACTTACCTTTGCAATCTTTCTCTTCGGATCTAAATAGGAATCACTGAAAATCCCTAGATTTTCCTTTCAAAAATCCCTGTGTCTCCAGAAGTCATTTTGCATTATGGAACTGCAAATACGTTTCGAAATGAAAACTTTATTGGGCACTCCGCTCATTTAACACGAACCAAGTTTATCATACATGCAATCACAAACTATTAATAAGACATCATCTTCATCCAAAGGTTCCCCTGAGACGCTGAGAGCATTTCATACAATATTGCAGAGTGTATTTGATTTAACAATTGGCAGATGGGATAGTGAATCTAAGGTCGCAGCACCTTGTGAAGTACATTTGGAAAGGAGTTTTCTTCCCCTGAAGTAAACCGAGGTCTGCTAAGTAGAGTAAGTCAGGGTCTGAAAAATATCATAGCAATTCAACATGGTCGAGTAAAAACAGCATAATATTTCATTTAGAATATTATTATTATCATTATTAGAAGTCTTTATTATTAATAAATACATTAATAATAATAATAATCCTTGCATTTGATACAGCGCTTTTCACGTCGGGAGGACGTCCCAAAGCGCTTCACAGAACACACTGTAAAGTGAATTGACTGTATATTTGTGGGCGAACGCGACAGCCAATTGCGCACAGCAATGTCCCACAAACAGTCGTAGATTGAAAATGACCAATTTATTATTGTTTTTGGTTTTGGAGGGATTATTATTAGGTGTGTGGAGTAAGGAAACTTGCCCAAGGTTTCGCCCTCTGCCTGGAATTGAACTCAGGTCTCTCACTTGCAAAGCGAGTGCTCTAACCACTGAGCTACAGAACTCCACATTCATAATTGGTTAAAATTATACTCATCAATCCCCCCCCACTATCCTCGCCACCTCAAAATAAATAGTCTTTGAACAATAAGAAATGTCCGTGTAGCAGTTGTTGCATTTATTGGACTTGTGTCCAGGAAATTTAGGGCAAGCGAGAGAGTTCTTGATATCTGACAAGCGAGGAGCTTGGGGATAGAGCGAGAATTTTTTGATGTCCAGAGATCTGGGAATAATAAGACCAGAGTGAGAGCCCTTGAAATCTAGAAATCAAGGGAACTGGAGGCCAGAGTCAGCGTGTAATGTCCTGGAGATAGATCAAGGGCACATCTGGAGAGCCAGAGCGCTGGATATCTAGAAATCGAGGAAACTAAGGGCTAGAGGCAGAGGGCTTGCTGTGTAGAGAAGCTTATCCATGCTTATCCATAAAATCTTCAATTTATTTCCAAAAAAAATTTGCGCAGGTTTCAGTTAAGTGGAGATTTCAGTCCAAGTGGCCTCCCTCTGTTTCTATGCTGCTGCCGTATAATCTTAACTCTGGCTATCTATTTGTATTTGTAGTAAATAAGGGGCAATTGACCAGACAGATTTTATTACATCGACACTGTTCCCTTCATTTAATGAACACTGAACCCTGTTTCATGTACCCCGTCCTATCCGCTGCATTACTGGGGGTGAGCTTTCAGACACTCTGCCCCTGCTCTTTGGAACTCTTATCTTTCCCCTCAAATTTCTTCAGCTCTTATTCCCCAGCTCGGGTGCCCAGCCAGCAGTGTGAAGCGCTTTGAGATGTCCTCCCGACATCTAAACCTAAATAAGTGTAATTTGTAATTCGCAAATTGGCTGCATCAAATTCACGTTACAAGATATCTGAACACGGTGAATGTGTGTATATTACGTAGAAATGTCAAAGTATTTCACTTAAAAGGTTCTTTAATACCGACATGCGCACATTGCCTCAACTAGGTATCCTGTAAAGTAAAGCACTTTGAGACATCTTAATGATGTGATAATAATAAATAATAATCCTTGCATTTGATATAGCGCTTTTCACGTCTTCTAGACATCTCAAAGCGCTTCACAGAATAAGGTGTAAAGTGAATTGACTGTATATTTGTGGGCAAAATGTGGCATCCAATTGCGCACAGCAGTGTCCCACAAATAGTGGTGGATTGAAAATGACCAATTTATTATTGTTTTGTTTTGGAGGGATTATTATTAGGCTCTGTGTGGAGTAAGGAAACTTGCCCAAGCTTTCTCCCTGCCTGGAATTGAATCCAGGTGTCTTGCTTGCAAGGCGAGTGCTCTAACCACTGAGCTACAGGACTCAAGGTGCAATATCAAATGCACAGATTATTATTGTTGTACTATGATTGTGAACAAAGAGAATTGCAACATTTGCCTGGAATATCAGTTTGTCAATTACTTTTTTCCCCTTTGGTATTGCTTTTGAAAACAAATACATTGAAATGTATAAAATGTATTTAAGTGAAATATTAAATACTTATTATTTTGTGGTATTTTATAAACTAAGTGTTTGCGTTTTTCTACCCTAAGAGCATAACATTTAATGCAGAATAAAGTAAAAGTAGTGAAGTTTCAAAATCAAACATCCTGATTATCTGAATGCTAAGCAATTCAAGTCAAGTTACTGTGAATGAATGAATAACTGTGCCTTTAATATAGATATAATATATAATCTATAAATTCAGCCTCCATAGTTTATATTTTAAAGAGATTAGAAATGGATCAATCTACCAACAGAAGATGAAGCTAGGAGGCAGTGGTTAGAGCAGTTCCGCCTCGGTTATTCCAATGCCATCCTCGACGGTCTCCCCAGCTCCACTACCCACAAACTACAACTGATTCAGAACTCCTCCACCCATATTCTCACCTACACTAAACTCTGCAACCCCATCAAACCAGTCCAAGCCAGGCTCCACTGGCTTCCTATCACAGAACAGATCAATTCCAAGATCCTCACACTCATCTACAAATCTCTTCATGCCCTGGCTCCTCCCTATCTTTCCAATTTGCTTTCTCCCCACTCCACTACCTGCTGCCTCTGTTCGGCTGGTTCTGGCCTCCTGCACATCCCTCCTTCCCTCCACTCCACCAGTGACAGCTGTGCTTTCAGCCCCTATACCCCAAAGCTTTGGTTCTCCCTCAATTCCTCTGCCTTGCCCTCACTTTCCCTCTTTTATATTACAACTGAAGACCTTCCTCTTCGACCGTGCCTACGGTTACCTCTTCCCTCCTACTGCCTCGACACCAGGCTCTGCCACTTTTAAGCACTCCGAGAGACTGCTCCACGTAAAAGACACTATATAAGTGCAAGTTGTTGTTGTAGTTTTTACAAGTTAATTTACAAATTTTCTATTAGAACAGATACGGATTTTACTGCATTAAAAGCTATTTCAGAGGAAGGTCTGCAGGTGAATCTTGAACGCGTAAAGGAAAAGGGCAAATTGCTTGTGAAGGGAAGAGGTGTTTAGGTGGCTAGCAGAGAATTGTCATAAAACAGCCTGATCATGGTGAATGTGTGTATTACGTAGAAATGTCAAACAACAACAACAAAATTATATTTGTATAGCGCCTTTCACATCCGGAGGACGCTAAGGCGATGGACAGTGTACAGCATTTCAGACCTGAGCTGGGTTCAGGGAGGTAAAGGGAGGGGAGGGGAAGGGGGGTGGTTGAAGAGGAGGGTTTTGAGGCGGGACTTGAAGAAGGCTAAGGAGGGGGCGAGGCGGAGTGATTGGGGAATGGAATT